CAGGGGTGCTGCCAAACCTCAAACACGGGAGAAACTCCCACAATAAAGAATTATCCAGACCCAAAAGCCAACCTTGCTGAGGCTCAGAAACCCAGTTTTAAACACCTGGCTGGCAGCCGTGCAACATGCAAAAAGCAACCAGCAGAATATTTCGGGTGATCCAGTCTGTTTATCTTGAACATTTTCTCTCTCTCCTCAAATCCTTCTCTTTCCTCTCTTGCCCTGGAATTTTATCATAATCCCATGTCACTGTGCTAAATTCCTACACTGAATAATAATCTCCTACTATGACTCTTAATACATTAGCAGCAGCGGAACAGATCAGAAATAAAGATGAGCATCAGGCATAAAATACAAAGGAAACCCTCAAAATTGGACCAAAGTCTCACACACCTGCCTGAAGTGTAGTTTTCTTTCTTCTGGTTGCCCTAAGCCATCATCGCGCTCTGCACCCCCATCAAACTTTGACGGCCATGAACGCCACCTCCGCTAAACACACACACGACTGCACCAATTTCATAAAATGATTTTAATAGAAAAGTACAAGGTCTGAACAAAAATAAATAATCTTTATCTCATTTCTAGCCCAGCAAATTGTACACTGCATATAAAACTGATCTAGGAGGCGATGTTCCTCATTTCCGTTTGCTTCTGAAATACTGAGACATTAAATCTTTGAAATTCAAACTGATACACTTTTACTTTAAAAAAAATCACACCAACCTTTAATCATTCCATATCCATTGTCTCAAGTTGACTAACAAGATGATGTTTCACTAAAATAAAGTATTATCCAAACATTAGGTTGAAGCATAAAGTTTGTGCGAAAGGTAGACGATCCGCTTCCTAGGTTTTTATTCCTAACATTGCCAAATGTGTCCTATATTATTAAAAACTCATTTCTTCGTCTTACTTTCAAAACATGGCATCTAGTTTTCCCCATTCCAAAGAGAGAGACTAAAAAATACCTTTTTTAAAAAAATAAATATTTTAAAAGTATACTTTACAGAGATAATGCAGTACTCTAGACCTATGCCTTGGTGAGTATTTGCATTACGTATATTCTTCAAGTTGTAAGTACCTTTTCTATCTGTCTCTATTTCTATTATACACCACTCAGTCTTTGGGGACTGCTTTTGCCAAGGATCTCTTGGACTCAGCCAGTACCAGTTTCTTATTCGGAGTACTTATAGAACGTCATATTTGACAATTCCACCGGCTTGAATAATGTTTTGCAAAAACAAATTGAAAACTGGTATTGGCAACATTGTCTGAGGAAAGGGTTTGGGTCGGCTACTAAACATACACACGGTGTCAGTCCCAGGAGTTCAAGCTTGAAGAACTGAAGAGATAAACTGGACCAAAACTTAAAACGGTCTTCCTTCTACTTTAGCCCATAATTACTATTTTGAACATGACTCTGTTTGCCACTGCCTACATACAAATTTTTTGTTAATTTTCCTGTATTGGGAAGATCTTGAATGCACTCCAGGATGAAAAGAAAAAAATATGCTGACAGTCCTAAATGGAGTATATGTTTTTGCAATAAAGAACACTGGTCAATATACAACTGAGGAAAAACTGAAACAGATGTGAGTCCTAGAACCACAAGCGTTTGAATTTGCCCAGAAATGCTATTTTAAACACTCTATATGTTGGTCTACTGTTTTTTTGTGGAATAATGCATTCTTGGCATCCTTAAAAGGTTTCAATATGTTACAAGGTTATCCGGAAAGAAAAAAAAAAAAGCAAAGGGCTAACTATCAATCTGTGTGGCGCTGGTCAGATTTCGGTGTAAGTTTTCAGAAAGCACAAGAACTCATATTAATTGCACTTAACACAACGAACCTTCAGTTTCCAATGAGTTTCATTCTCTGCAGACTGAGGTTTGCTTTTCGTAGAACTACTTCCAAAGGGGTATAAGAGACAATCCGTCCATGGTAACTTCCAACAGAGAGGTACGACAGATGCAGTGGTAAACACAAATATACTTTTGGACAAAAATACTGGTCATGGATAAAGCGTGTGCCTTTTCAGTTCTTCTCCTAGATGTTACAACAGCAACACGCTCTAAAACAATTAAGTTACATGCATAATGCTAAAAGAATGTGAGCAATCCTACAACCAGCTTTAAGCCATCTGCTTGATTTTTCTTTCTTTTTTTTCTTTCTTTCTTTCTTTCTTTCTTTCTTTCTTTCTTTCTTTCTCTCTCTCTCTCTCTCTTTCTTTTCTTTCTTTTTCTTTCTTTCTTTCGGAACATATAGAGGAAAAGAGAATTCCCGTTTTGTTCCATTACATATAGAAATCTTTTGAAGCTTCCAAAGTTTGGTTTTGGTAAAAGTCTCCACTCTTCTATTATTCTGACGCGTAGTCACCCTAAACTATCCCTCATGGTTTCTCAAAAAAAAAAAAAAAAAAAACCTCCACATGAAGTATCTGAAGGACACTTGAAACCACTTACCAATATACAAGTAACGTTTTATTTTATATTCTATCTTCCATTTGGCATAAGCCTTTCAATGTTTGTTTTTTAAACCAGTGAAATATACAAATCACGCAAGACAGAAATATGTACATTAAAAGTACAGAATAAAGGCCATAGAAGATATACATAATATCTGAATGACAAGTAGAATATTTTACATTAAATAGTTTCTTTTAAAAACTAGGATTGTTAAACTCAACTCTCTTCATAAACATGAATCACTAAAAAGGAACAAAATCTGGCTTAGCAAATAAAAAAAATTACTTCATGGTTTTTGTATAATAAAAACCAAAAAAGTGACATTTTAAACTAATTAGTGCTTTTTAATTTCAAGATCTTTTGCTTGCAATTCACTGCAACTGAGGGGAAGTGAATATCCTTGTGCAATAAATTAAGAGCCACAGGTGGTGGAGGTGATTATGAAGACCACCAAGCCTAGGACGGTTGTAGGAGATGTGTATCTTTCCAAACTTTTAGAACAGCGTAAGTCTGAGATAAGAATACATTTGATGGCATTTTTAGGAAAAAGGTGTCCTTGCTTTAAAAAAAAAAAAAAAAATCTCTCTAACTAGCTATGTATGTCGTAAGCTCAGTTTTCCTTGGACTCAAACAGGTACCTCCAGATCTAACAGGCACCAGTTTTCACTCTGCAAAATGAACCAAGGGAACAGACGCATTGACAAAGCTTCCGAGTTTTGAAACTCTCTTCATTTCCACCTCTATGACAAAGGAGTAATGCCCTTTCTGGAAAGTGTACAGAAATGGGGGTTGGAGAAAGGGGGTGGCACAGGGATGATGAAAGAAGTCTTCAAACCAACATGCATATCAGGTAAGACCTTCCAGATTCCTCAGAAACAAGGCTGCTTCGTGATGCTTAAGATGTGATCACATCAGGGCCACAGCCCACGCTCAACCCAGAAACCTTTTGGAAAAATCCCAATTGGATTGCAATGAAGGATAACAATGCTCTAGACCGAGAAATAACCCCAGAGTAAACTAGAAATCACTGGCTGCACTGAGATATAATTATATTTATATTTATATATAGATGTGTGTGTGTCTGTGTGTGTATATATATATATATATATGTTATTTACAAAAGACTTTGAGATATGAGGCACCGTTAAACCGTATCCCCCCCTTATAAATGCAACTGTTCAAGTACACTAGAACAGTCTTGGGGCACACCTGCAGTATAATAGGAAAAGCTTGAGTGGAAAGTCTCTACACAGGATCACAACAGTGAACGCAGCAGCACCTCTGGGAACTCCATTAGCCATGTTAACGTCATTAAAACATACAAAAACTGGTGCTCCTCCAAATAAAAGTTTTAGGGAAAAAAAAATCCCTAAGTAGTGGACTGTTTCCCAAGTGGAGCTTGTAATACTTCATTTCCTGTCCCACAATCAAAGGGGACCCAGTTGAGCTGCTGCCTTTCGCAACGTGGCCAGCATCACATCGCAGCAAAGCAAGGAGGAATCAGATAGGTCCTGGGGTCAAGTAGGAGGACCGATTTCACTCTTTCCCCTCAAACAGGTTTTCTGCTCTGGTGCAACGCTGACCTGCACACCTCGTCGTCTGGGCTGAGGATCTGTGAATGGATTCATTTACTATTTTTCATTAATGTTATTTATTAACCAAGTATCCCTAAGAAAATTACAGTATATTTTTCTTCATATTCAAGCCAACCTCCCCACCTCTCTCCAAACAAAAAGTCTAGTACCCAGAACCACATGGGAATCCTTTTCCAATCTGATAACCTAATTCCTGTTAACAGCTTCAAGTCAGTATCTTGATACCTGTGTTTCTCAGGTCTTCAGCTACCGGGATTTTCCTCCCTGCTCCCCAAGTTTCAGTAGCTACTAGTGTTAAGACCATCTGCAGATAGAATGTTTGAGGAAACAGACACAAATAATACACCTTCTTCCTTTGAAGGATAGGAGATTCTGGCTGTTACCTCTTAAATTACCATTTTGAAACTGTTTCAGGTTGGCAGTCCCTAGGGAAGGGGGGTGGGGGGGGCGCCTCATTTTTTGTTGGTTTCTCAAGACCTCTCCACCCTCCCCAGAGCATTCGCAATTCACTTTGATCACAGAAGCTGGGTCCTGCATAGATCTGTACCACCCCCTTCCAGTTGGATGCTACCTGTTCCGTATCTGACCCCTTAGTTGAGAAAAAGAAAACATTTTTCCCTTCTAGATGTGCACACAACTAAGGGTACATGTAATTCCCCCTCATCCTGTACCGTCAAAAGAAGTATTGTCTTACCTTTTCAAAGATGCACAAAATAAATATTTTTTTCTTGGTTCCCACCCCCCATTATTGCCAAATAATAATTAAAATATTAATAATAAACCACAGAGTTTTTAGATGGGAACAGAAAAAAAAATGGTTCCGGTTGTAATTCTCAGGGGAAAATAAAACAATATTAAAAAAAAAACAGAATCACTGTACTTTCTATAAATAAGTGGGTCCTGGGAGCGGGGCAGGGTGACAGGCAGGCGTCGAGCGCCCGCTATTTGCACACGAACTGGTCCACGATCTCCGTGCACTTCTTGCACTTGACGTAGCAGCACCAGTGGAACTTGCAGTGGCAACGCTCCGTCTGCACGGTCTTGAACTGGTCGTAGCCGCGGCCACAGCACATGAGCTCGCAGCCGTCCATGCCCTCGGACGTCTTGTTGCACAGGCGGCCCTGCGTGCCCAGCGAGCCCGTGCTCTCGTTGCGCACGCAGTAGTCGGGGCTGGGGTCGATGTAGACCAGGTCCTGCGTGGTGGGCGAGTTGAAGCGGCTGTTGACCTGCACCAGCTTGCCCCGGCTGTTGAGCCGCATGGCAGCCGCGCTGTCGTACTTCTCCTTCAGGGCGTCGCCCACCTTGCGGAAGTCAGCCAGCTGCAGCCAGCAGGTCTTGAGGCTACAGGAGCCCGACACCCCGTGGCACTTGCAGGCCACATCAGCCAGGTTGTACACCGTCTGTGAGGAGACAGCACAGTCAGTGTATGCACTCCCGGACGAGCCCCGGACAGCCGGTGGACGGGATGTTAGCAAAGCTCCCGTCCACCTTCTACATGGAGCCATGGTCACCGGCTAAACCCGGGCCTGGGCGCTTTCCTCCTCATCCTGCGCCACCAGAAGTCTTGCGTCTTCAAAATAAACATGCTCTTAGCTCCTCATCACCATATTCTCACACATCACTGTCACAAACAGCCAGCTTTGAACTGAGAACAGGGAGAGACCACTCAAGTTGCTTCCTTTTTTACAGGAAAACATTACAGCAACTACTACATCTTGAACGCTCATCCCAGAGCTTATTTACCATCCCTTGCCCTCATTACCTGGATTAATCCCCACAGCCAGCCTATAAGGGAAGTGCTAGTATCGTGCCCATTTCACAGAGAAGGAAAGTGAGGCCCATACAGTTGAGTTACTTGCCCGGCCACTGGGAGGTAAGGGTGCCAGGATTTCAACTCAGACGGTTGGGCTCTCAGCTTATGCTCAGTGACTTGCTCGTGGGCAACCCAGCTGGTAAGTAGGAGGGTTGGGAGGGGTCTAGCTCAGGTGGGATCAGGGTTCAAATCTTCATCACTATTATTATTGCTGTGTGCCAGGCACTGTAATAAGAGCCTTTATGCTGTTTATCTCATTTAATCCTCCCAAACAACATTATAACACAGGGCGGGTTAAACGATAGCACAGTGACGCAGAGAGGGAAAGTGGTCTGCACAGGCCACACAGCTGGAATGTGGAGGAACAGGGCCTGGACCTCAGGTTGTCACTCCCGCTTCCAGCACAGCCCCTAACCCTACTCCACAATGCCTAAGCTAAGAGCACCCACGCCAGACCTAGGCAGATGGGAGTTTTGTCCTAACTGTGCCCCTGAAATCAGGCAACTGGATTCACCTCTCAGAGCCTCCTTTTTCTATCTGTAAAGGGGAACTGTAATGGTACCAACCTCAAAACATTGTTGTAAGGATAAAATTAGGAGATGCAAGGAAAGTGCTCAGCATACATTCTGATGCAATCAGTAAATCTGGTCTTTCCCAGGGTGATGAGTGCATGGCATCCGGGTGCCAGTCCTACGCTCTCGCCTGGTCACCTTGGCCTCCAGGCAGCAGCGCCCACTGGCCTGGCCTCACAGCACTGTGCCCAGCGGTCCAGGAGGTGGCAGGTGCCTATTTACGGTTCCTACTACCCACAGTTCCTCTGCCAGTCACCCACCCGCCTGCTCCCCACCCCAGAGTCAGAGTGGTGCTGGCAAGCTGCAGACAACCTATCAGGAACCTGGAGGCTGGAGTGAGCTAGAAGGCTCCTTCCACCCAGAACAGCTCCCTTCTTCCTATAAAGACTCATAAGGGGCGCTATTTTTGTAAAAGGGGTGGGGGGGGGTGGGTAGCAGAATGTACTTCCTTGGCATAAAGGGTTTCAGGCACTCAGCTAATGTGCAGAAGGGTTTTGCAGATGTATTTAACCTTTGCTCCCCTTTGACTAAAATAAAAAGCTAATGCCCCGAGGAGATTCTAGTATGATTTCCTGGCACAGTGTTCACAGATTTCCTCCTCCCTTCCCCCACTGTCCTGGAGAAAAACTGTCTTCCGTGTAACCTCATCTGCCAGGATTCAATTTAGCTCACAGCTCAAATTATAAAACTTACAAAAATAATTCACTCACTATTTAAAAATGTGGATGTTATGGATGTCTGGGTGGCTCAGTCAGTTAAGCTTCCGACTTTGGCTCAGGTCATGATCTCACAGTTTGTGGGTTCGAGCCCCGCGTCGGGCTCTGTGCTGACAGCTCAGAGCCTGGAGCCTGCTTCGGATTCTGTGTCTCCCTCTCTCTCTGCCCCTCCCCTGCTCACAGTCTTTCTCGCTCTCCCTCTCTCTCCTTCTCTCTCTCTCTCAAAAATAAACAAACGTTAAAAAATGTAGATGTTAAATGAAATTCTAATATTAAAGGTGCTTTTTCCAACTCTCCAAAACCCCCTCTCTCTACTTGGAAATTCCTTGACCTTCTCTCCTTGGTTGCTAAGCCCCTGATAATTTCTCTTCATGAGAGAAGTCAAAGAAATCCCCTAAATGGATGAAAGTACCAAATATGGGCACAATGAGGCCCAGAGAGTCAACCACATCTCTGTCCTGAAGGCACTTCTGGTCTGAGGCACCGGGCACACTGTATGCACAGGGTAATGTGACGTGTCCCCTGTGAGGACAGGGGCAAGCTTTATGGGCTCCCACAGAGAGTGGGGCTGACATGCCCATTCTGTGGCCTTGGTCGGCTGCAGTGGGGGAGACAGAGTCCACCACAGCAACAGGAGGCTTAAGAAAGGAGAGGCCACAACTGCCCCCGCCCCGCCCCGAGCAATAATCTGACCCCTCAGGGCACCACAGGTAAAAATCTACAGTTTAGTCCTTCCCCAACACCTCCAAATGTATAACATCAATTAAAAAAACAAAAAAAAACAAAAAACTTTTTTTTTTAATCTTTTTTTTTTTTTTTCGAGAGAGAGACAGAGTATGAGCAGGGGAGAGGCAGAGAGAGAGGGAGACACAGAATCTGAAGCAGGCTCCAGGCTCTGAGCTGTCAGCACAGAGCCCAACGTGGGGCTCGAACCCATGAAAGTTCATGACCCATGAGTTCATGACCTGAGCCGAAGTCGTACGCTTAACCAACTGAGCCACCCAGGCTCCCTTAACATCAATTTAAGAAGAAGCTAGGTTAGCTGGAACTATCTAGATCATCTTTGACTTCTCTGCTCTCAGCTTATGTCCAACAATTATGATTTATCAAGCACTTACACTGACGTTAAGCTCAGCCCTTGGATTGAACCACGAGAAACCGTTATTTAATTGGTCAGAGGTAGTCAAGTATTGGTAACTTCATCTGGATCCACCTACTATATGATCCTGGTTAGTCCTCACATAACGCTAAGTGATAGTTCGTGCCATGGCCATCCAACAGATGTAGAAATGTAGAAACTGAGGCTCATACACAGAAAGGAACAGAACTGGAATTTAGCCTATAGCCCTTTACCCCGAGCTGTGACGCAGGCGTTTAATAAAAACACGCCTGGGCTTGTATTGCAATCCATCAATTTTCCTCCATGGCCATGAAGTGGTTCTCTAGGGCCTCAGTTTCCCGAGCTTTAAAAATGAGGGTGTGCGGTTAGAGGGCTCTAAGGCTCCTCCCAGTCTTCTGTATTTTACTCTGTGATTATCTTCCCTTTTCCTCACCCCAAAATACAGAAGAGTGAAATCTCTGACCAGAAAGTTCCTGGCACCTACCTTGGGTTCTGTGAAAAAATAATGGCCCTGGTTTTCAATGCTGCCAAAGTTAAGAAAAGTTTCACCCCTTCATTTTAAAGCAGCCATAAAGTGCCATGTGTTTAACCACAGGAAAAAAGGGTCTTTTTAACTATTGTGGAGAAGCTTCCCACCAGGAGAAGGGAAGAGTGGACCCAGAAGGCTGGTGAGGGCTTGCAAAGCTGGTCTCCCTGGGCACTTCTGAGTGGCTCCCCCTTCTATCCAGAGCCACCCTCGATTGGCCTGATGGTCAGACCTATAAAATTCCACACTGCTAAAAATGCTGTAGTTTTCCTAGAAGAACTCTTAAAACAAAACAAAACCCTCAATCCCTCAGGCCTGCTATCTAACGACACAAGGGGAGGCAAGCAGAAAGCAAGTAAGGGAAAAGGTAAGTTCTGGAAGCTGAGGTGAGGGCTTTCTCCACTGGGCACCTACTGGGATAAATAGCTCCCTCTCCCAAATTTAAGCCCAACCACAAACATGTTCCAGGGAGGAGGGCGAACGTTATTCACATTTTTACTTCTGAGCTGAGCTGGGCTGGCCAATTGCACCGGGGACTAATTAAAAAAGGCGGAAAAAGCTCTTTTTCAGGCAACTGCAGGAGCACCTTTGCTGGAGGGGGCCCGGGAGGGATGATTCACCTTCAGGAGGCCTTTCTGGGGCGTGCACCCCCCTTCAGAGAGGCCCATGTGTAGGTGGGGCGGGGAGGAAGGGAAGCAGAGAGAGGAGAGAGCTAGACGGGGAGGCAGAGAGAGAGGGAAAGCGACCGGAGACAGAGCCAGAGTCAGAAAGGGAAGGAAGTAGACGCAGAGACGGAGGGACAGGTACACACAGAGGGGCGGCACAGGGCAGGACCGAGCTAAGGAGCCGGGGCGCCCGAGAAGGGCACGGGGCGGGGCGGGACTCACCCTGCGGCCGGCCTCGTTGTTGTGCAAGTTCATGAGGATGCGCGCGCTCTCGTACGAGCCCTTGGCGTGGATGCGCTCCCGCTCGCGCGCGTCCACGAACTCCTTGGCGAAGCGGTAGCCGTAGTCGATGTTGTCGCCGCAGCCGCCCCACAGCCAGTCCCGCGGCAGGTCCTTGGGGCGCGCGGCGCGGCTGCAGCCGCACGTGGACAGCTCGCCCTCGCGGCACGCGCGGCTCATGGCGTTCACCACCCCCGCGGCGCTCACCGCGTACGTGAAGGCCGTCTCGCGGCTGCCTGTGGGCGGGACGCGGGGGTCACCGTGCGCCTGCCCGCGGCCCCGCGGGGAGCGCATCGGAAGCCCCCCAGCG